TCATTAATTATTATGCATTAACATATAATGAGACAACATGATCACCGTAGGAATGGTGATCTCGGTATACCCAACTCTCTTCTGAGCCAACATATATAATGAGACAACATGATCACCGTAAAAATGGTGATCTCGGTATACTCAACTCTCTTCTGAACCAACCTATGCAAAGGCCTTAGTTAACAACAACGTCTGATCATCGCAATACATGTTTAAGTTATTGTACCAAATTCCTAATAATAAGAAACCTCTATCAAGTTGTGGAAAGTAATTATAAAAAGAAAAATAAAATCTAAAAAAAAAAAAAGAGTTAACAAGAATATCTAAATGAAAAGCAGTGGTAACTCGCATCATGAATAGCTGGCTCACTAAATCTACAAAGTTTGAGCATACTTTTTTAGCAGAAGCTTTACTCTATGAGAACATGACTCAATCAATTGTTTGAGATAATGCTAACTTTGTTTTGGCTTTGTCATGAGTGAATGGTGATTGGTGAGTTGAATATTTACAAAACAATCAAATTGGTTCAGTTGTTCATTATATACATGACTATTGTGTTCGCATCATGTAATTACCTTTTCTTAACAAGTTCATGTTATTAGTCTTTAAAACCACTAACCACCCACTCATTAAATCTCTTTCAATAGTCAAAGCAAAGAATAATCTTCCGTCAAACAATGCAAAAATAGCACAAGGATGGAATTGAATTGAAAACACAAGTAGCAAGAGGGGCATATATTAAACTGAAAGTTCAAAACAAAACTAGTTATTATAAGATAAAAGTATATACATTCATTCAATTCAATTACATATATAATAACTAAATAGAATAGGTAACATAAAAGAAGGCACTCTTTGACAGTAAACTCACCATTACATATTCTTCCACCAGTACGTTTCAACTTAAACATAAAAAAAGAGAAGAATATCATTCATCAGCCACATCATTAGTTGGGAGCTCGTTCAAATCGAAGTGACGAACAACGCGTTGCCCTAATTCTGTTTCTACATCATTCGTCGGGACCTCATTCAAATCAAGATTTCGAACAACTCTTGGCCCCAATACTGTTTCACCTCCGTTCAGGTTCTTCTCCTCCTTCACCACTGTTTCATCAATACCGTCACTTGTTAGCGGCACAAGTGGCTTCTGTATCAACTCTTGGCCACAATATTGTTTGTTGTTGTTGTTTCTGAGTTTATGAAAGGAAGGAGGTGAACAAGATTTCGCCATGATGATGACGCAATAGCAGGTACAAGAAAGTGTTGTGAGTAAGCGGTGGAGAGTGAAGAGTGAGATAGAGCATGTAAAGAAAACACAAAGCGTGGTTTAAGTCCATTATTAAACCATTTTGAATATTATATTAAAGAGATTAATTGTTATACATGAAAATTATTTTTATATATGCATCCAATAAAATTATATTATAGTGCCATTTTTATAAATTGTCAAAATATTTTTTTTTTAAATTAGGTCAAAATATTTTGAATTTATTTTTTCAAAAATTGAATTTCTTTTAATACCTGACTAAGTATGATCAGCTTGTGTTGAAGATTGAGATAGACTTTCTTGAAATTCATATGCATAGCAAAATAAATTAGTGGTGATTAAACTCATAATTTCTTTATTTTAATAAGCTTTATATTTAATTAAAGTAATGTTGATATACTTACAAATTTCTCATAGATTTGTTGCACATCTTCCTTAACAACTTCATCCTTACCCACCCGGACAACCTTCCACAGAACATGTTCCGGAAGAGATATTTCTTGACTTTTCTCCTCTTCTAACTACACATTAAGAAAAATAATAAAATCAATAATAACACATGATGAACAATTATATCATATCATTTATATATACTTACCAATCTTTGTTGTAAGCGTGCATATCCCATACGCCCTTTTCTGTATGGATACGGGGGACTTGATGCTCGTTGGTAATTCACGCCACTCACATCCTAAAAATCTGAGGTTCTTCTTTTTTCTTTTAATTTTGCCCATTCTTCAAGCAAAACCAAGCCTGCATACGCTTGTGGATGCTCCGCATCAATAAAATTGTTATCGGCATCCCTAAGAAACTTGTTTTAAAAAAAGATTGAAACTCTCTTAGTCTTTTTCCGACCAATTGAAGACAATATGATTTTCGATCATCATCAATATTAAAACACCTCTACAAAAAAACACAATATAAAAAGTGTTAGTAATTTAAAGACATAAGCGTCAACAAAAACGAAAGACATCACATATGAAACATGTATTCCATTCCATAATTTTTCTTTAACGGGTTTCAACTCACGTCTTCTCCAATCATCACAAGTGATTAGAACTTATCTCCTCACAATGGAACCAATGTAACTTGTTAACATTGAACCGTTAGGCTCAATTAGTTGTTTGTCTTCATTCCAATGTACGTCAAATTTTATACCTTTATCTCTTGCACAAATGATTGACTTTATAATTGTTATTCCTCGTCTAATATTATTCTCCACATCACGAGCTGATTGATTTTCATCATTATTAGAAGCCATTTGACCTGTAATATTAAAGAACATAAACACCATATAAAAATCAAGTAACATAAACACAATATAAAAACATAAACACAATATGAGTTACTAGTACCTTTTTCACTAACATGTCTTTTGTTTCCATCATTATTAGAAGTGGGATGTGATTTTTCCTCGTTGGTAGCCATTTGACATGTAATATTAAAGAAAATCATAAACACCATATAATTAAAAAAATCTATAGATTAAGAATTACATTAGAATATTTATACAACATTAAACATATATCTATACACCATTAAATAATCACTAATATTCTTTTTAACATATATTTTACTAATAAAACAATATTCAACATATATATTTAACATATATTAAACAATATTTTTAACATATATATTATCATTTCTATTCTATATTATCACTAATATTTATATTATCGTTTCAACTTTACATTATCATCAAATAATCACTTATATTATCAACTTTACACAATCAACTATATGAGTTTTTTCAATTTCATTTTCAACTATATGTGAAGTGCTTTCAATTTCAACATTATAAGTGTTATTACGACAACCTCTCAAACCAAAATGTATAGCTCGATTAATTGTATAGGATTATATTTTTTCTCAATCAATACATGCAATATTCATTGTGACATTTATGCAAACACCTTACATGCAAAACTCACTGTGACATTTTCACAAACATTTTACATGCAAAAACCACATGCCACATAAAACTCAACATAATGCAACATTATCAACACTAAATCAACACTATCAACTAAACCAAATGCAATGTTATATATTAACATTATCAAATATATCAAATATATAAAAAATCTTACCTAGAGGAGAAGAGAACCTTGGTTGTGAATGGAAGAAAGAATGAAACGGTCTTGAATGGAAGAAGGATGAGAACCTTGAAGAAAGGATACAACGATTTTGTCAAGAATCAAACAAAAATTGCTCGTGAAAAAGGGTTTTGTTTGTAACTGCGTTGTTGTGTGAAAATGGGTTTTGGAAAAATAATAACATTACTGTAATAGAAAAGTTGGACGCGTGTTTTATTTTTTTATAACATGACTTTAGGTAGTGCTTTGAGAAAGCGCTGCTTAATCCCACCCTTAGCCAGCACTTGTAGTAGAAAGCGCTGCTTAATCCCCCCCTTTAGGTAGCGCTTTAACAAAGCGCTGCTTAATCCCCCCTCCCCCTTTAGGCAGCGCTTCTCCAAAGCGCTACAATACCTACCCCCTTTAGCAGCGCTTTATAAATTCACATTAACCCCCTTTAGGCAGCACTTCCACAAAGCGCTGCTTAAGCCCACCCTTTAGGCAGTGCTTCTAAAAAGCACTTTGTAAACCTACCCTTTAGGCAGCGCTTCAGTACCTACCCCCCTTTAGCAGCGCTTTATCAAACCATATTCACCCCCTTAGGCAGCGCTTTTTTAGAAAGCACTGTCTAAAGTATACGACAAAACTTTCATGTTTTTTAAAATCACTTTTAGCAGCGCTTTTGATAAGAAGCGTTGTCTTAGGTGTGATGTCTAATCTTATTTTTGGCGTAGTGATAAACGCCCAGAGTCGAGCTTATATTTCACTAGTTCTGATCAGACATACAGACATATCAAACTGTAGTGATGCTTCCTCTATGCAAACACATTCCAAATACAGCCACATTATACTACCTTAACATTCTATCAAGGCAATGTGTACATCTTAACATAGCGCAGTCTCGAGAGAAACAACCATACACAGGTTCATAAAAGACTTAAAGTCATTACACTTTGATAAAAATATCACTTACTAATATTTGTAGCAAACAAATTATGAGAATTGCAGGATTCCAAAGCATGCACTAGCTCTCCTCAGATCCTAGTTCTCCTTGGATCCCAGCCGAACAATAACAATGGTTGAATAAAGAGCAATAACATGCCAAAAAGCACAAGCATGGTAAAGGTAATAACTAAAATACATATATAAATATATTATTTACAAACTGAGGCACCCAGCTCCAAGAACTTTTCAGTATCCTTTCTAGAAGGATCTGCCAAAGGATCCAACTATTCAGTGGTAATGGGAAGGCAGGAACAAATTTCTCGTGCTTGCTCCAACATTTCATCTTGGACTATACACCTAACTTTTCAGCCCATTGAAGGGATTCTCGATATTTCTGTTATGCAACAGCCACCTCCTTCTCAAGACCTTTCAAGCATTGAACAACTTATCCTTCTTTTGATGAAGAACTTTTTGAGCCTATTCAAATGAAGGCGCACTTCAAACGCATCCTTAGAAACCTTCTTGCAAAGATTCTTTCCGTTGGCAAAGGAATCCTTCAGCCTCTCTATCTTAGTAGCCAAAGTTGGCAGTTGATTGTACCAACCTACTTATTCTAATAAAGAGTTAATAACATTCACCAATCTCGTACAATTTATTCAATTCGTTCTCATCATTAGAATTTCTACGTTCGAGGGCTTTACACCTCTCCCCTAACTCATCCTGCTCTCTTGAAAGGTCGCTAGAGCCCAGAACATCATCCTGCCAAAAGATACCATAGAAACAAGGGATTCATCCTTAAACAAAGTAAGGTAAGTATATGTAAAAAAGGATCATCTTAATAGTTGCAAAAAAACCCCTAAAAAAACTAGGTCTTCAGAAGCCACGATAGAAGCAAACTCCTCTAGAGTGCTAGGTACCCGGGATGATAGAGTAGTAGAAAGTTGGAAGAAAGGAGTAAGAACCTCTTGCTCACCACCCTCCGACAAAGAAAACTCGTCTAGAAGAACCTCCTTCAATATGAGTATACAGACTATTACCCTGACTCATCTTGGCAGGGGAAGGAGCCGGTAAAAGTTCCCGAGGAGAAAAACCAATCGCTGCAGTAGCTAACTGACTCACTTTAGGATCTGTGATCAGGATAATAGTTTCAACTACTACCAGGGAAACCACCACATCAAGCATCTGAGCCTCCTGAGTAGAAGTAGAAGCAACAATACGTTCCACCAGTACTCGGACAGACAAGTTACAACCTCTTGGATTTATGAAAAAGAATCGGGAAGGGATGGTGTACAAATTACATAAAACTCTATGGATTGAAGAAAACGCCCAGAGCTTGGAATTTGAAGATTGATTCATTTTTCAAGAAACAAGGTTTTCAAAAGTGTGATATGTAGTATGGTGTGTATGTTCAGCATTCTAAAAGCAATATAATTCTGGTATGTCTTTATGTTGATGACATATTGCTGGCGGGAAGTTGTTCTGAAGAAGTTGTCAAGTTCAAGAAGACTCTGATGAATGATTTTGAGATGAGTGACTTAGGAAAGCTGATTTATTTTCTGGGGATGGAGGTATTGTACTTTGAGAAGGGTATAATTTTTCATTATCTGAAGTATAAACTTGAGCTTTTAAAGAAATTCAAGCTGGAGAATTGGAAAGCCGTTGTTACACCGTGAGAAACCAATCATAAATTGGATTATGACTCTGATGGTGAAGATATGTGTAATACGGTGGGAGAACTGACTTGGTGTTTTGTGATTTATCGAAATTGTTGTGGATAGCAAGAGTTGACACCGACTTTTCCTTTATCCAATAAAGGAAATGGTGAAAAGAACAGGAAAGACCTTTTGAGATATTTTTTTGAGTTCGGGGGGTAGGTTATGAAAACGGAAGGTGTTAGCACCCTTTTCATCCGTAGTTATCTACGAGCTCTTAGTTGCTAGCTCACTTTGAAATGATTTTTTTTAAATGTGTTAGTGATTATTTGAAAGTACTTTTGAAAAGTGCCTTCGTTTAGGCGAACTTTATAATGATTCTCGTCTCTATAAGAATGTATACAAAGTGTTGACTTTTGAAAGTATTTCATTGAAAAGTGTTGGTGTATTTGAAAGATATTTTGAAATGTTGTGAGCAAGCAACTACGAGCATTCTACCTACTCAAAAGAAGTATTTGTTCTCTTCCTCCTCCTTGAGATAATCTTATCTTACCATTAGTTAGTAAGAAACCATATCATTAGATGTGAAGGGACAGGCATGGTCATCGTATAGTCATAGAAAGCAACATTGTAGGATACCTTAGCAATTTGTCGTAAGGGTCTAAGATCATTTACCGAAGGCAATATTGAAGGGTCATTGAGGGACTATGATCTTGTATTCGAGATTTTTTTGCTAATGTATCCCACATTCGAGGGACATGACTGTTTACATCTGAGGCACCAAGTGGGGTATACCCTAGAGGTACATGTGTGAATTGTGTTTTAATTTTATGTATTTTTGTCTTTGAAATTATGGTTTTCTAAGATTGATTTTATCTTTCCATACAAACCCTAATTACTAGAAATAATCGAAAACGGTAAATTGCGGAAATTAAATGTCCTACACTATTATAGCACTTTTGGGGATGGGGGTAAAAGTTTATGAATGGGGGGATGAAAGCAATAAACCCTAAATTACTATTACAAATTATTGAATAATTGCATAATTGTAAAATTAATGTAAAAAAGTAAATAATGTACAAAGGTGGGAAAAAGGGTTAAGTGTAAACCCTAAAAGAGTTCTAAATATTTTAAGGAAGAAATGTTTTTTTTTTGTTTTGTTTGAGAAAAGAGTTTGAAATTTGAAAGAAAAGAAATTAGTCCTAATTTGTATTTACAAATTTAATTAAAGTGAAAATAAAGTGTGATTAATTAATTTATGAAAAAAATTAAATACTAAAATGATCTAAATGTTTAAGAAAAATATTTTTGGGAGTTTTGTTTAGGAAAATATTTTTATAGTGTAAAAATAATAATAAAAATCCTAGTTATAATTAATTTTACAAACTAATTAAAAATAAAACCAAGTGTAATTAAATTAAAATTAATTTTTATTTATAAAAATAAATTATTTAATGTAAATCCTAAGTCTAATTTTTTTTGATGATTTTATGATTTTTATTATTTTATTTTGATAAAGAAAAAATGATTAAAAAGAAAATAAAGTTATTAATTAAAAAAAAGAAGAAAAAAAGAAAAAATATTGGGCCAGTGTGATCAGTCAAAATAGGGGTAAGAATTTAGCAAAAATCTAGGCCCATTACAATGAGCCAAACACTTTCCTTTGATCCAGTGAGGATGGCTTTCTGATGGTTCACCATGGGGAGGTTCCAGGAGCATTGGATCTGTTTTAATAAAGATCAAATGGTTGAGAGATGAGGTGCATCATGGGCGTTGGAACTTGGCTTGCACAGGATCTGTAAAAAGAAAAGGGTACCACTGGGGCTCGAACCCAGGTCCCTATAGTGAACAGGTGCACGCTTTACCACTGAGGTGGCTATACATCCGGTGTTATAAATAAAACCAAACATATATATTTGAAACACGTTCTTGAAGATGACTTTATCTTCTTCCTCGTGCCAGACCAAACAAAGCCATGTTTGAATTTGCTATCTCCTTCATTTCTCAATCATTTTTTAAATTGTAAACATGAAAGTTGTTGGAAATTTCACCACGAATCCAACCATATAACTCTTAAAAGCTATAGATCAAAGGTTAGGATTAATTTATGTTGGTACCAAAAATGTGCCCTAACTGGTCAGAGATCAAATTCTTCACACACAAGCAATTAAAATGAAAACTAAGAACATGGTTAGCTTTAGTGCAATGATATCTAAATTTTTTGCTTCAAAATGTATGTACAAAAGATGCTTGTATCAAGATATCACGGTCTAGATGCTTACCTCTTGAAGTGAGAAACGTGTATGGAGTTTGAGCAACCTTGGAGGTGTAATGATGATATGTATAACTTCCCTGGACTTCCTTGAGTGTATTACGATCCTTACTTTTCTTTGAAACAAGCTGGAACTCCCTACTCACGTCAAAATGCAATGGTGATTTTGGAAAATGGTGGATGATGAAGATGATGTTACATAGGTGTAACAGGTGTTGGAATCACTTGTGTATGATGTATATGAGAGGTTAGGATGATTAAAAGTGAATACGCACAAGTGGATTTGGAGATAGCTGTTTGAAACTAAAAAATGTCAAGTTTATGGCCAGTTCTGGATTGCAGAAGTTGTGGGAGGTTTGAGGGTGCTTAAGCTCGTGTCCTTGATTGAAAATAACTTGTATATCTATATGGAAAAGGTTAGAGATGTTTTGCACAAGGGATTTCTGAGTTGTAGGGTTTTGGCTACGTGGCTTGCTTTTGAAGAAAAGTAGAAAACAAGTTTCAATGTGTTGTAAAAGCATGGTATGAAGTTGTTGGAGGCCTTAAACTTGTTTCTTCTGTTTTTGAATTTTCTTGTGTTCAGATGAAACAAGTTTGGGAGCTCAAGAAGTTGACTTTGTGATTAAAGTGATCTTTATGAAAATGGATATGGAGCTTTTTGCAATTTCATCCAAAAATGGTATAACCAAGTGGATAAAGCCTCAAATCTTTGTGTAATGCATCACAAATTTGTGTAAATATATGATTATATGGAGATTTAGAAGCAACGTGGCCTGAAAAGTGAGATTGGATGATAAGGTTATGAGATTTGGTCTTGAGTTCTTCATAAAAATGACTTGAAATTCAAGAATAAAATGATCTCTTCAAGTATTTGAATCTCCTAGCTCAAAAATGATCTCTTCAAGTTCTTGGAAATTTTGAAAATATTGAAACATCCTCTACAACTTTTATGTTGACCATTTTAATAAAATCATCTTAGAGCTTGATGAAAATTGGCCAAGAAGTTAGGTCAATCTACCTAAATTAGGTCAAATTTTCAGTAAGTGTTTTAGAAAAAGGGCATGACTTCATGAATTTATAACTCAAAATCCAAGCACTTATAGGACTTTATTAGTAAATCAAAGTTGTAGATCTCATCAAGATCTACAACTTTAATTTTGAAAGTTTTCTTTGAATCATCTTGCATCTTGGTGAAAAATTGGCATGAAGTAATAAAATTATCATGTATAAAACACTTAGAAAAATTTCTAAGTCTTGAAAAGTTTGACTTTTCACATTGATATTTGACTTTCTTGATGATCAAGCTTCATATTTTTGAATTTCTTGACGAATTGTGATCTTTGAAATCAAATCTTAATCAAAAAGTCAAAGTTTAACTTTTTGTGCATTAGTTGACTTTTCATCAGTTGATCAAATTTCAACTATCAATCCATTGATCTTGAGGAATGTTTTGAACTATGAAATTAGGTCAACATGTTGTATTTGAATCCTTTAGATTGTGCTTCAAGCAATTAGATCATGCATTAGGTCAAAAGTCACTAATCAGTCAATTACAATCAAAACTCTAATTTTGACCATTTTACCCTCTTGGTAAACTGAGTGCTTTTCTTGAGAGATTGTGATCAATATTTGATCAAATAATGAATAAGATTTTAAAATGTTAATGTTGGCCAAAAATCATAAAGTTTGACTGTAGGTTGACCACAGTTGACTTTTTACCTAGTACAGTTGATTTTCAGTCATCTGAGCAATTGACTGAGTAAACTTGTGATGTAAAACTTGAAACTTGGCATGGGAACTCTTGGAGAATTATAATGATCCATGAAGGTCATTTGAGGCATTATAAGTCTAATTGTCCTTGTGAAAATCAAAACCCTAATTTGAGGCATCAGTGTTTAGGAGATGGTTTGACCTAGTCAACACTTGTGCAAATTTGAGCCATTGGAGATCTTGTGAGAAATGTCTTAAGAAAAGAGAGGGTAAATTTTGGGGTACAATAATGTGCATGCTACAACCTTCAAATAGTTGGTTGGTTTTCTAAGGTATTTGTGTAATACCAGACCTGATATTTGCTATGCAGTTAGAATGGTTAGTAGGTTCATGAGTAAACCTAAGTGGTCCCATTACCAAGTTGTTGTCAAGATTATGAGGTATATCAAGGGAACTCTGAAGTTTGGAGTACTATTTCTTTCAAGAAGAAAAAAAGATTCAGAGTTGATGAGTTATTCTGATTCTGATTTGTGTGGAGATATAGTTGA